AAATATGGAGCTTTAATAAGTTGTACTTACACACAATCTACTTGCAATCTTGAGTTTTAAGTAATATGCATTACTAAACATTATTTTACGCATAAGAAGTGAGTTTTAAGAGTTTTGTCAGAGGCTTTATATTATAGAATAGATATGTAAAGAGAGGTTGTCAGAAAAACCTAAAAGAATGAAAAACTAACAAATACCTTAACAACCATCAATCTGTTTAACAGTTACTAAATGATCCGATACAGAATGATTAGAGGACTCTTATAATATAGTGCAAAAGAAAATATAATTGTTTGGTAATTATTCATAATGAAATTAGGGTGTACTGAATGGTTAAGGAAGGTCCAAGATGTAAAATCATTCAGAGGTTTTAAAACCATTAAGAGACAGACTTTTTTTTTTTGCCAAACAAGATTCGCCTCTTAGCAATTCAGAGACTGCCTTTTAATGGAGCTATTAAGAGGTTAACAAACAACACCTAGTTTCTATTTACGTATGCATGTTACATGTACATCCAGGACAAGTTACTTGTATCACATATACATATCATTCAAATGAATGGTTGTTAGCATGTTCTTTAATTTTTCATGTTTTTGCATATTCCTCTTAACCTAACACCCGTCTCTCTCTCTATACACACACACACACACATATATATATATATATATATATATATATATATAATCACATAAGTTGTTATACACCAATAGATATAAATGGTGGTAAGTGAGCTCAGTGCTTGTATTCCATGAGTAATAAAAGTTGAATTCCAAATGCAAAATTGTATCCAATCCCTAGAAGAGGAAGAGGAAGAGAAGCAACCAAATCCATCCAGATTGTAGATCAGAATCAGACATTGCTGTCTTTCATTGTATGCATGTGTGATTAGAATTAAACAACTACATGAATAACTTTGGTTGGTTCTTGCCTGTTGCTAAAATAGTTAGTCTTGGACTTCTATGCCTTTATCCTAGAGGATTCTCCAACCGCACTCTCCATTCTTGAGTACCACTCCCCAATTCTCGTGTGCTCCACCATATCTTTACCTGACCTTAGATATCGAATAGGTCTCAGCACCCCAAACACAGCTAGATCGCCCAAATTAGGCTTCAATCCTCCTGATCAAGTCGTTAATACTAACCACAATAAGTTAACTGCAATGCAAAATAAAAAAGAAAAAGAGAAGCAAATGCAAAATCCCACGTTGCTAGTGACTTTAGATTTTGAACCCTCTCTCTATTGATTGTTCGAGTGTATGATCCACTATCATTTCTTTCTTCCTAAATGAAATGTATGCAGACTAGGAGCACAATATTCAGCCGATTAAAAAAGTGAAGACATGGTTTCGTGTTTTCCATCCGAGAGTTCTCAAGTTATTGGCTCCATTCTCCGATACAATGGCACAAAAAACTTCTGTGCATCAATAAAACTGAAGCAAATCTCAGGTCTTTTATGGCTAAAATTGAGGTGCGGAATCATAGATGCACAATACTAGAAAAGATGTATTGTCATGTTGATATATGTGCACATGTGTCTATATGAACATGATAGCTGTAATTTGTGCATGCTTCCATGGTGAAAAAGGATCACCTAAAAGTAGTAAAATTAAACTGACAAGATGACTTCAAGCTATGTTAAATACCCATTGATCATAAAACTGGCATGGTATATATCAAGAAAACTGACCTAAAAACTCTCTGCCGTCAAGTGCGTTGACCCAAGTTTCTGCAGCTTCATACAAGGCTGCTCTTTCATCAGTAATGTTATACTTTTTCTTCAGTTTCTTGGACACAAAATACATAGCAGCAGCCCCAGCATATTTCACTGCATATTTCTCTGAGAGGCTGAAGTTACCTGAAAATTAAATGACACATGTTATACACATTCAAACCAGAATGAAGTCGATGTTTACTGGATATGTTCAGTTTGGTGGGTTTCACCGTGATCCAGTTTCAGAGGGGTGTTTCAGATTCACTTGTTGGTCATTGGTCAATTTCTTGCACGTCGGTGCTTAAAATTCAAGGTCATGGAGTGGTCACTGTATAAGAGATGGAGGAATCTGGATTTGTTTCAAGAGGATTTCTCTGTTGCTTCTAGCAATGCCTTAAGATGGTTAGTAGTGAATCTTGTCCTAGTAGTTTCCAGTACTGCGTGTCAAGTGATTTACTGATTTAATGTTTCTTTGCTTGTTTTAACCAATCTCCCTCTTTTATCGTAGTATTAAACTAATTATCTTTCCAGGGTATGTTCGAAATACATGGTTGCATGAAATGAAAAAAAAACATAATTAACAAGAAAGGCATTCAGATGTCAACATTATTATTTGTTGCATGTTGATGTAATCATTAAGGGAAAGAATTCATGAACTTTATTATGCATTGTGTTCATAACAAGAAATGCATCAATGATTGTGAGATGCGTTGTATGCTTATATTTGTACACATTATCCACATGTCAAGTAAACAAAAATATTGCAGCGTACACATGCCAGGAATTAAGCAACATTAAGCTTACCGTTGTTAGCAATATAGTCAAAGGATTCCAGAGCCTCAGAAGTGTTCCGATAGATGTTTGGTGATAGCATATGAACCAAATGATCATCAACCCACCTACACGGTCCCACTTTTCGTTAGTGCCATAAACAACTTAAAAGACTAGTTTCAGAATATTCTCTACCGATAAACGATATGATTAACATGCTAGAGGTCGTGACTGAGAAATGAACACAAAAATGAGAAGTTCTAAATGATTCTAAACGGAAGCATAAAGTCAAAGTAACAACTAGTAAGCCTAAATTGATGCCTATCCTGTGTGACCCAGATCATGGAAAAAAAGTTGAGGCACAATAAGAATATCAAGTCTGCCCACTTCCCTGAAGCTCTACTTGGACAAACCCTGGAATGGTGTGTATTAGCATGACACTTGTAATTAGCATTCTACTAAGCAAGATACACAAGACATTTTCTGGTTTTCACTGATGTAAACAAGGAGACTAAGTCACTAAGAGCTTGTTTGTTAGCAGCTTAATGAGCTTAATGGGACTCACAGCTTATTCAGTCAGCTATACATGATTGTTTAGTAGTGGCTTAATGATATGGAATGACTTATTCAGTAAGCTTCTAGGGAGAGTTTTAAGCAGAAAGCCAAGTTTTTTTCCAAACCTGCCCTTCCCAATTAAAACCACGCTCCTTCCATCTATGAAAAAACCCTATGAAATAAAAACCTTCGCAATCTAAACAGCAAATTAATCTACACAGACAACTTTATCCATACGAAACTTAATGGAAAACCAACCAAACAGCCCCTAAGATTCAAACTTTTCCTCTCATACAAACCTTAAAGTAATGACTATGTTAACTTATGCTGGAAATTTTGCTTTTTCGAAATTGCAGTCCACTTTAAAAGAAATAAGTAAATGTGCAATATGGGAGTGATGACAGTATGGCACAAAGAGATCTTGTCCACCTAATTCTATGGTTGTTTCTTAGGTTCTGAAGTAGCATTCTCAACGATGCATATCCATGGATGTTTATCTTCATGTGGTGGTGTTCCCTACAATTTCAAGCACCATAATTATTGTACTAATAGGGCACACATTAAGTTTCTAACATAACATAAATTTAACAGTGTTTCGCATTACTTATGTTTGTAATTGCGGGAAGCATGTTGGTTTTACTTTGTTTAACCTTGATACTTACCTTCAAAAGTCTTAATGATACAACCATAACGACACATTCCTGTTAGCCTCCAATACTCTACCGTGCGACACCACCAAGCAAATATTTCTCCTAAAGAGCACTGATCATAGTGCAACTATAGCAAGTCTCATCCATAATTGTTACAGTGCCATAGTGAATCATGGCAGTAGCCAACTGCTTGAACGCCATGTCGACAAGGCACCCACAGGTTGTCCATATTGCAACAAGTCGTTCACTATGCGTTAGTTCTGCATTTGTGTTACATACATCATTACACTGAAAATTTATATAATAGCATCATTTGTAAATGAAGGTTGACATTTGCATTCATGAACTCTTCAAAAGGATTAGCCCCGAAACCTTGCTATAACTTCTACAAACAATGATGAACTTGATAGTTGTCTCATTTGCATGTGGAAACAAACCTCACGCCTATGTGTGTTTCATGTACTCACACTATCTCTTGGCTAAATAATGCATGGGCCAGTGACATATCAACGTGCATCCTAATTAAACTTGGTGATGAAATAGATGGTGTTTGTCGTGATTGCTACCAATGAGTGTAGCCTGGGTCTTGCTTGGAGTGTTATGGACATGTCGTTTATATAGTAAACATAATAAAAAAGAATAATCTACAGCTGTAAACATGAGAAAAACGAATATGATTCTCTTTCCATCCCAAACCACATACCTAACAACCTACGACATGGACTTATCGGAGACTAAACTAATTGGGCACTTGGACGGTTGGACCATGATAAATTGGACAAGTTTGCTACATTAGAAAATTATTACTGATTTGGTCCAAAATATCTACTAATAATGATCATATTACTAGCACTAATATAGGTTACAAATAAACAACAAGTATGTAACTGACTGTGTTTCATTTAATAAAAAAAGATAAAGAAAGCAGAGGTAATAAAAACAAATCAATCATTGGAAAACTAATTACTTGGCATAAATATTTGAGACAGTTGGCAGGAATCAGTCGCAGCATGGTGAAATTCAATAACTGAAGATTTTGCAAAAAGGTTCAAAAATTGATAGCAATGTCACCCTAAATAAAGCTGGATAACTGCACAAGTGAATACCCCAATTCATTTTTCCTATATCCCAATTACTGACCCATGTAACATTAACAACATATGAAACAAATATACTTCTTAGGCACTATAAAGAGAAGAAAGAACAAACCTGCGCCACTTCTTCTCTTCATCATCATTTGAGAGCGCTGACGAAGATTTCACAGGAATGATCCTGTTCCCCATCTGATCAATAATAGCTGCAAGAAAGACTCAATGTGTCTTTAAAGGACATATCAATTACCTTCTTAAATTTAAACAAGTCTTATTTGGTCGATATCAATATTCAACACGATCATTCAAATTTAACAAGAACAACAGTGAATAATATGCAGAAAATACCTGACGAATCTACCAGTGATTCACCATCCACCATCAATATCGGCACCTTCTTATAATCAGACCATTTGATCTCCTTCTTACTAAATGGATTCACCTCCACAACTTTGTATGGTATATCATAGTAATCCAAGAATGCTGAGAAAGCAACAGAAAAACCATGTTAAATTTCGCATATCTTGACTTCTATTTAGTATTTACCCAAACTTCCTTTCACATTGTTTTGAAACAAACTTGGTTGTTTCCATCATGAGAATAGAAAATCAATATGAACAAATTGTTTTGATATACATGCATGATGGCAGGCTATCCAACAATACAATGCAAGTGCTTCTTATTACTATATGCTTGCAACTCCATTGCCAAGGTGCAGTAACAAAAACTATTTAGTACACACAAAATAAGAGTTCATTGATGATGTAAAAAATATTTACACAAGCAGCTTGTAATAAATAAAAAAGACAGGTGTGCATTCATGGATTAAGAAATTTAACTTATGGAAAATATTTGTAACATATCTTCTGTTCATCCACTTGGACAGCTTTTCTTGCACAAATCTGCATAAATTTCTTCTTCTTGAACTTCCAACCATGCTCTCTGAATATAAATCCAACTACATCTAAAATAATGCTTACTAGAAGGCAAACACCACCATGTATGTAACTCACATTTAGGTTTTTACACGAAATAATAAATGGTAAATATTATAGCCTTAGCGCATGTCTGTATAAGGCTTGGTAGTTCCAGGTTCCAAGTAATACGTGACAGAGAGGCAAAATTATCAATAAGTTCCATTTCGTAATGTCCCAGTAGCCATATAACCTGCTGTAATATAACACGCACCCCTGTGCATGCTGTTTTTGTACTGTAAAATTTCTTAGACCTCTTATACAGTAGCCATATAACCTGTGTGTACATACATACCCCTGTGTGCCTCCGTGTACAACACACACATACACACACCATGAATGGTGCTGGCATGTGCATAACACAGACACACACACACACACGTACACACAGAGACAGAGACAGACACACACACAGAGAATGGTTGGGTGTTGTTTTATGCACCATGTGGATACTAGAATCATGTTAAATCATGTATTGTTAAATCATGTTTTTGGGCCTTATGATATTTTGTTTTGTTTAGCCGTATGCATTGCAAAACAGAACCTGGTTCTGGCACTTTCTGGAACATGGTTATGCATAAACAAACCCCTAAGAAACAGTCATATCTATTAGTCATACTTGATGGGATGCATAATTATGTTTATTTGATGTGTGTGTGTGTGTGTATGTTTATAGACCAGTAGCAACATTAATTATTTTTAAAAACTTGCCTTGTTCAAAACATCAAACTGCTCCATGTGTGTGTATGTTTAGATACAGCAACAACCAGAGGTGAAATGTGTGTATGTGTTGTACTCCAAATAGAAACAACTAGAGGTGAAATGTGTGTGTTTGTTTAGATACAGCACCAAACTGTGTTGTACTCCAAATAGAAACAACT